GCTGGCAACTCACGGCAGCCCAGCTCCAGGTCGAGCTGTTGTTCAGCATCCTAGCTGTAGAGGGCAGTGTCACTGGCCCTCATACATGGGATCCGAACCGGGGACCTCTGGTGTCCCAAGCCAGCTCTTAACCAACGCGCCACTCAGCCGCCCCTGAGTGGGTCTGAATTTTATCAAATACTTTTTCTCTATCTTTTGAGACAACCCTACAGTTTATTTTTGAATTCTGTTAATATGGTGAATGATGTTGACTGATTTTTGAATGTCAGGACAGTCTTGCATTCTTAGGATAACATGGCCATGATATGTTATGACCTTTATATATTTCTGGATTTGATTTGCTCATATTTTGTTAAGGATTTTTGTGTCTACATTGATGAAGGGTATTGGTGTGTAGTTTCCAGGTCTCATGAAATGGCATAGGACATATTTTTTAGTAGTTTCTTTATGCATTTCTTAAATATGCATTTTTTATCTTTTCATAATATATTTAGCATTAATATTGTACTAATTTACAGAGAATATAAGAACCTTGCAAAAGTATGAGTCCACTTACCTTCCCTCGATTTTTTGTGCTTTAATTTTCAAATGTTTTACATTTACATACATACATTATAAATTCCCCAATACAGTGCCCTCTTTTCTTTTTTACTTTATTTAGCCAGTCATATATGTTTTAACGAAATTACGAGGGTAAAAAGTTGACTTTTATGTTTACCCATATACTTATAATTTTTGATGTTCTTCATGCCTTTCTGAAGATCGGGGTTTTTCTTTGGTTTTCTTTTTCTGCAGCCTGAAGCACTTCATCAGCAATTCTTATAGAGTGGGTCTGCTGGTAATGGATTATATTAGGTTTCATTTACCTGAAAAAGTCTTTATTTTTAATTCATTCTCAAAGGATATTTTTCCTAGATGTAGAAATCTGGTTTCTCAGTTTTTCCATCAGTACTTTAAAGATATCATTCTATTGTCTTTTGGTCACCATTGTTTCTGATTGTAAGTCAGCAATCTTTTGTTTTTTTGGCCTCATGTAACATGTCTTTTTTTTTTTTATGCCTTTAAGATATTCTGTTTAACTTTAGTTTTCAGCAGTTTGCCTGTGATGTGCCTGTGTGTTATTTTTCTTCATATTTATCTTGCTTGTGGTTCTTGGGCATCTATAATCCTTAAATATATGCCATTCTTCCAACTAAGGAAATTTTTAGACTTATTCAAATTTATGCCCATTTTGTCTCTTTTCCCTCCTGGGAATTTAATTACAGGTATGTTAGACATTTTACATTGTCCCATGTGTCACTGAGGCATGCTGTTCTCTCTCTCTTCACTTTTTTCTATTTGTACTTCTGATTTGATCATTTACATTGATTTAGCTTCAAATTTATTGATACTTATTTTCCTGCCATCTCCATTATTCCATGAGTCCCATTCAGTGAAATTTTTATTCTAATATTATGGTTTTTAGTTTTATAATTTCTTTTTGTTTTTTTTGTTTTTTGTTTTTAATTTTATTGGGGAACAGTGTTTTTCCAGGACCCATCAGCTCCAAGTTAAGTAGTTGTTTCAGTCTAGTTTTGGAGGGCTCAAATCAGTGGCCCATTTGGGCATCGAACTGGCAACCTTGGTGTTATGAGCACTGTGCTCTAACCGACTGAGCTAACCAGCCACCCCATTTTTGCTCTTTTTTTTATAGTTTCTATTTTTCTGCTGAGATTTCCTATTTGTTTTTTTACTATAAACATGCTTTCCTTAAGCATAGTTTTATTAGCTGTTTTAAAACTCCTTGCTGATTCTAACATCTTCGTCATCTTGTGATCAGTCTCTATTGACTGTCTTGTCCCTGAGGTATCGGTTACTTTTCCTATTTCTTTATATATCTAGTAATTTTAGATTTTTTTAGCCTGTACTTTGTGACACATTGTAGATACCCTGGTTTCTGTTATATTCCTCTGAACAAGTATTCTATAATATGTAGCAGCTTACATTTCTGTGTTTTAAGAGAGGCCCACACATGTGATGTTCAAACATCAACCAGTGATATGCATCCTCCCCTACAGCTAGAATTTCAATTTCCCTACTCATGGACCTCCCCTCTCTCCTTCCAGCTGCTATGATCATCCAAAACTCTGTCCTCTGGTTCAAGCCAGTAACACTGAGTTTCTGACTGAGTTTTAGCCACACTGCTGCAGTGTACCCTCAGTCAAAAATCAAATTTAAAAAGGGGGTATGGGAGACTGGGGATCCTAGTGTTGGTTTCCCTTCAGTTTTCTTCTGGCTTTGGTTGCTCTCTTGTGCCTTCAGGTAGTTGGTTTTTTAAGTTTATTTTAGTTTATAGTTATTATTGATGGCAGGGTTTGTCTGATAATAGGTACTCCTTTGATAGTGAAAGCAGATTTCTAAGTTTGTGGGAAGCCAGAAGTCTCAGAAGTATGCAGGAGTAATGTACGTGTGTGTATGTCTATATATATTCATAGGGAAAAAATTTTTTGTCTTATTTACTATAAAGTAAAAATGCTAGGGATGGCCAGTTAGCTCAGGTGGTTAGAGTGCAGTGCTCATAACACCAAGGTTGCCAGTGCCATCCCCACATGGGCCACTGAGCTGCACCCTCCACAACTAGATTGAAGACAACTATTTGACTTGGAGCTGATGTGTCCTGGAAAAATACACCGTTCCCCAATTTAAAGAATAAATTAAAGTAAAAATGCTAGTAATCTTGTAAAATCTATGAAATGTAAATGCAGTTTTATTTGTTTTTTAGGTAAAAAGCTTTCCATAAACAACAATGGGAAGTGAATTTTACATGTTTTGTTGTTTTACAAAAAATATTATAGCAATATTAATGGAACACGAAAATGAAAAAATTTACTTGGTCCATTTAGCCCCAACAAATCACATTTTTTCATTTTTTTCTGTTTCTTGTTTACATATATTTGTGCTTTTATGCATGCATTGATATAATACTCTAACTCTGGTTTTTAAAAATTATATGTTTTCAGTATTATTATAGTATTTATATTTATAATCTAATGGCTGTAAAATATTCCATTAAGTTGTGCCATTATTTAATCCTAAGGGATTTATTTTCTCAAGGTTTAATAAAATTGTCTCCAGGGTTCAGGTTGGAGACTTTCTATAAAAGTTTCCTTGCTGTCTTAGATACATAGAATTAATGAAAGAAGTATATGTAAATGCTTTTAATTGGTAGTATATTCCTTTATATTTTTCCAGATGAGCTTTATTCTCAGTAAGTGCTTCAGATATTGTAAATTATAGCAAAATTTGTCTACTTTTAGTAAATTTTAGCAAAATTTGACATGTATTATTGGTTAACTCTGCAATTGACCATGTTTCTTTCCTCTCTCTCTCTCAGCTAAATGTTGCCAGCTACCTACAGATGATCTGCTTAACTGAAAATTTTAGAACTGATGTAAAAGACTTTGTAACATTGTTAACTGCAAATACTTGTGATATAAGGAAAAGTATCCTTTACTTACAATTCTGGATTAGAAGTGGAGGTGGAGTTTTAGAAGAAAGGCCATTATCCCTTTGTCGTAAGTTGATCTGTTATAAAAGAAATTTCTATAATGGGACCCTTTGTTAAAATATATGTTACACCAAAACATTTGAAAGAGTATAAAAATTTTGAGCATCCAGGTATCATGTTAATCTTAGAAATAAACATACATATGTCAACTGTGTTGATGAAAAGTTTTGTAAACATTAAATGTAGGTAGACTGAATTAAACTGAACCTAGAACAAATTGTTACTGATACATTGGTAAACATATAGTTTCTTATAAACAAATAGAATTCTATTATTTAGCAACTTCTTTTTTTGTTTTTTGTTTTTTGGGGTTTTTTTGTTTGTTTTTTTTTAGCTGAGCCATCTTGCTACCTGTTGGCAGCTCAGCGGCTGCTCAGCTTGGGCTGGACTCGAACTGCTGTTGCTCAGAGCTCAAACTCTTGAGCGAGNGGGAAGGGGAACAGACAAGTTGCTGTCCTTTTGTTCTTCAGTCTAGTTGTGGAGGACGTCGCTTCATTGGCCCATGTTGGTATTATCATTGCGCTCTTCCCCCAGGTGAGGCAGATCGGTTGCCGGCCACTAGACCACTGCTCACGGTGGCTCTTGGCTGCTCACGGCAGCTGACAGCCACTCACGGCAGCTTCCTGGAGCCCCCTGCAGCCCCACTGCAGCCTATGCCATCACTAGCAACTCATGGCAGCCCAGCTCTAGGTCGAGCTGTTGTTCACCATCTTAGCTGTAGAGAGCGCAGCATCACTGGTCCCCATGTGGGATCTGAACCAGTGCCCTGCTGCTCAGAGCTGGTGTTCCAAGCCAACTCTTAACCAATGCGCCACTCGGCTGGCCCAATATTTTTTATTTTAAGATTATGCATTTCTTACCTTCTGTTAAAATGCCCTATTTTTATGACATGATAGTGACATCTATGATAATTTTTCAAACTCAAAATTTTCAATAAGTTTTTTCAAACATCTATAAGATGCAAGGTATATATGTAATAAGACCTGTGGAGATAAGGTATGCAAAAAAAAAGGAATAGGACACAGACATGGAATTGTGCACATATGATGGTATGTATGGAAGATTCTGCTCCGAGGCCATATGATAATAATTAGGACATGTAAGGACTGAATCAGGGTACTTAGAGGGGAGAAAAGGACATTCTCTGGAATAAATGCTGGGCGCCATTGGCTTCCGGGTTGGGAGAGATCAACCACTTATTTTTTAACTTCGTATCCATCCTCCTCAGCATCCTTAGAAAAACATACTGTTTACTTGCAATGTCAGTTTACTGTAGGGCTAAGCCAAACTTGGACAACAAAGTTCTGTAATGTACTCAGTATGTACCCTTATCACTTTTCCTCCAGCTTTTTCTGACCTCATATATTATAGATGTAGAGAAATTGAGTGGAGGGATTATTATCATTATTTGCTTCAAGAATGTATATTTCTTTGGAAAAGAATATCTTTTCCAAATGACTGGTTTTACGTTCTCTACTGATAGAATAACTGTAACAATACAGTAATATTTGAGTGTATAGAATATTTGAATGTAAGAATGAGAGAAAATTTCTGTATCTTTGATTTTTAACTGGTAAGAGTAGAAATATAGACTGTGGATAGCTGTTTTGCTATTTGTTTGATTTTTAGAATATTTATCTTTAAGTGCAATTTGGTTTTGGCAGAAAAATTAAATTCTCCGAAGAAAGTTGTTACATCACCAAGGAAACTTCCTCCACCATCACCACAAAGTAGTGGACCAAAACGAGCACTTCCACCTAAAACTTTGGTAAATTATTTTAAAGTGTCTTCCAAGCCAAAAAATAATGAAGAAATAGGGGAACTTCTGGAAAATAATAAAGGTAAGACATTAAATTGAGAAAATAAATTTGACCTTTTTATGACCCTGATGCATACATTCATCAGTTTCTATTGCTGTTTATTAAACCTAGTGACACTGAGGAGCTTTGATATTTTGTTTCAGTTTTGATAGAGGATTTCAGTTTGAGTTTATCTATGGAAATATCCACTGTCCTATTACAAGTTGATTTTATGTAAAATATTAATATTTTATTTATGCAGGAATGAAAACATATTTTGAACAGAAACAAATTATTCAGACTAAATCTACAAATACAACTAATTCAAATGTCAAAGAATTTGGAGCTGAGGAGCCCAGCAAGAAAAATGCAACATCTCTCATCCTTTTTGAAGAGGTAGGATTACAGAGGTATACATTTCTGATATCAGGTGATAAAAACTTATTCTAAAGATTACTATATGTGTTACTATAAAGTAATACAAAATAGCCAAGAAAGTCAGGAACACTTGTATCTATTTAAAACTAAAGC